TGAGCCTCTGATGATAGTCTGACCTAAAGCTTCAGAAGATTTTAGTAGATGAACTTCAGGAGTGCTTACCCTGTTTCCAGAACAACATGGTCAAGTTCATTCAGCTAATCAAAACATCAGACAATTTTATCCAGCAGGATTTAACTGGGGTTTTTGTTAAAAGCTTTTGCTTCATTTTCACTTTTTTTTTTTTTTTTTTTTTTTTTTTTTCATATTGTCATGACTGAACATAGCAGCAGAAATGAGTAATATTGAAAAAGCAGTGGAGAAATTTTCTGAAAAATTTCCTTTGCATTTGCTTTCTGCAGGCATTTTACATTAAAACCTAACTACTCTTGTAGCAGTCACAGTTTTCCAGTCAGGGTAAGCATGAAGAAACTATTTATATAAAGCAGAAATAGGCAAAGAATGAGTAGTTACACAGCTCGAGTTTAGATTTTTTCCCCCAACAAATTGCTTTAAGTGGATGATATGGGCAAAAACTGTTCCCAGGTTTATTTAGCAAGTCATTTCAAATAAATTATATGCTCAAGAGAATCACAGTATAAAAATAAGCTAATAGAAATGTGCATTCTTTCACATAATTGATAAGATTTATTCACTGCTCTAATTATTAAAATGATCTGTCTTTTTCAGAGGGTAGGAATGAAATAGTAAATTCGGTTTCTCCTGACAGTCTATACTAGAATATCAGAGATGAGTTGTTGCCTCCTCATAGTTTAACTGACTCTATTCTTTGAGTAGTACTACATAAGAGGTGAGACATATTGGAGTAGAATATGAAATAAGGACCTGAAAATGAGATTCTGCTGTAATATATGTTGATCACACAAGGTGGCAGAATGAGCTTAGGGCTCTCTGAGAAGTAAGAAGCAGTGAAGCATCATCATTTTCAGTCAATGGCATATCCTTCCTTGCCCTACGAATATGCCAAGTTGCTTCTGCACATGTAGAGGGATGGAGGGGAATTTTTTTTAAAACAGCATTTTTGATAATTATCCAAGTTCTTCAATTTCCTTTGGAGATTTAATGGAGACTGTTAAAAGCTTGTGGCTAACTTTGAAAATTAATAATCATACAATGCTGAATCTGCTCACATCTTCAGTTTTATTGAAAACAGTTTACTTTCTATCAATACATTGATTCTCTAAGTGGGGTTGAACTCTTCAGATGAAGGACAGCTACAAGAACAGGCACGTAGGGAACAATTCTCTTTTCCTTATTGATTTATGGCTAAATTTACTTCTATTGTGAGTGAATGAAACTCTGTTGACTTTGCTGGTGTTGTTATTTACTTATAGCAGGCCTGAGCATGGCAGGTAGTTATATGTGGCTGAACTGAAGGCAACCCAAGAAGGAGAAATTGAAATCCAAGGCAAAGAGAAAGGATTTCTCTGCAACAATTTCTGTGCTACTGCTTTGGCCAATGACCTGAAGAATAGTAGTGACACTTCTTCTTGCACATTTACCAGATGCTCTCCTTGACTCACTTCTGAGACTTTTCTTGTAATAGGCAGTTCCAGGGGCAGGGCTGAGCTGTGTCCTCAGGAAGCCTTTGGTTGCAGGTTGCAAAGGAGGTCCTACGCATGCCTGCTCAGTTCACCCCTTTGGAGCTACATAACAGCCATGCAGTGTACCAAAACAACGTGGAATTTCAGCTATGGTTTAGGATTTTTTTCCAGTCATATGCTCAATGTGAATTGCACCAATAACGCATAAAAGCATCTTTGTGTTCAGCTCAATTAATGGTTCGTTGAAGAGAGAGGAGGTATATAGGAATGCTTCCTATATACCACCATAGGAAGCATTTTAAAAGTAGCTGATAATATATTCTCCATCTGAATTTATTTCTATCTGTAACTAAATTAAGTGACCAGCCAGGTTACTCTTATAAGTAAGACTTAAGAACTGGGATCTATTCATTGCTCCTTATGCAATATATTTCTAGAAGCTCATTAGAAGCTATTAGAGCTTATTCACCCTTGCAACCTTTTCAGCAGATGTTCAGCTGTTTGTTTTTCCTCATTGCCTTAAGATATTTGGCTAAGCATTAAAACAAGACTGGAACAGGTCAGGAAAGTATTTATTTCCGAGAAAAAATAAACTAGGAAGTAAAACAGATGACAATTAATATTGAAAATGTCATCTGTAATCTATTAATGAGAACTGGAAAACAAGAATTAAGTGAAAAATTGAAATTTAGAGCTATAACAAACCCCGGAATTGCAATCTGTCTCTTTGCACAGACAGGAGGTTACAAAATGATGAAGAAAAAAAGAACCAAGAGAGAAACAAACAAACAAAAAAAAGTTCTGGAAATTTTCTTTATGCACCGGCTACATTTGTCTTTGGCCCTTCTGTCACTTATGGGACCAGTCTGTGAGACTCAACAAGACTTCCTGAATGGTCTATGGTCATACCTAAGAGACTTTTTTAGTCCACACCTGAGTTTTGGGATTCAAGCCCTGAGAGCTCCCTGACTCTGTTATTGTGTCCAGATTAATCCACAGTCACGCCTTGTCTTTCAGCTGCTAGCTGCTGCCTCTCAGCTCAGCTGCAGCACTTGTGTGACGTCTCTTTTGACATCCCACTGCAAAGCCAGGGGGTTATTTTTAATTGCCAGTGGTTTTAACTTACCTGCTCGAATGTACGCTGCACAGGCTTGAGTCACTCGCACATACTTCTCAGCCTAGATCAGGCAACTGAGTGGAGACAGCTCCTCAAAATGCCTCTCTGCTGTGACTGCCTGCGAGTCCTCCCTCTTCTTTTCAGTACAAAGTCAAGCACTAACAGCCTAAACCACTGCAGGAGATGCTTTGAGTTAAACTGCTAGCCTTACACTGAAACGGGCAAAAAATCCTCACTTATACCTGCTCCTTACCACCTCTGAATCGTTAATTACTGCCTCTCAGTCTGATTTTCCTCACGGCAGGCTGCTGCTGCTCATGCTGCATACATAGCAAAGAGTGGGCTCCCTGGGAGATGCCAGCTGGGGGCTGCAGGGCAGTGAAGCCAGGGTTGAAGAGTAGCAGTAGGGATGGCTGGTAAGCTGGGTTACAAATCTGGGCTCAAACTGGACTTAAAGGACATTTTAGGTACTTTCTGTCATGCTGTACCAAAACCGATGTGAAACACTTAATTCACATAGCCCAGGCAGATCTGCAGTGCAGTGTGAGAGATACATCTGGGAAAAAACTTGGGCATACCAAACTTACAGCAGCCATTATACGGTAAGTAATTATTTCGTGTTCAAGGAGGCATTAGAGACTGTCTGAGAGAGTACCTTGGCAGTGTGACAGCATGAGCAGAACTGCAGAGCTCTTCAAAGAGCGGGTGACTCGGGGCAGCTCCTTTTGTCACTTTCCGGAGTCATTGTACAAACTGATGTCCACGTGTTGGTTAAATAAGTAACAGCTGACTGGGTTTCAGTCAAAATCTGTCTCAGAAATTTTGGCCAGTTTCCCTGAAAAGCAGAAAGCAAGCAGAGGCATAGCAGCAGTGAGAGAGCTAGCACTAGAAGCAGTGTGGTGAGTCAAAATCTTAATGGCTGTGACATGGATGCTCAAATAGAAACCGTGCTGTTGGATGCAGGTGTGACTCGTACTTGCACAACATGTGTGAGTAGAAAACACGGTCTCTAAGATGTGGAGGTCCTCACATTCACAGAGTGCTGAAGTAAGCTGTGGCTATTGAAACTACAGACCTTTTGCCACATACTGTACACAGAAACCTGCTGTGTCCAGTCAGATTGCTGCAACCTCGTGGGGAAACAGAGGGTGGATATTTGGGCTCACAAACTGTGCTGCCTCTATGTGCACATATGCCTCCACAGATATATGTATGTGCTACTGAAGTGTGGGTACACACAGTGGACAGAATAAGAGCACGTGGGCTTTATGTGGTTACTGCAAATGCTCTCGTTTCAGAGTGCTGCTGCTGGAAAGCTCGTAGGGCAACTGCATATGGATGACCCTGCTGCCTGGAAAAATGTGCTGTGAAACTGCTGTATTGTGCTGGAGGTGATTCCTGAGCCACAGACGGACCCTGACAGCCTTTGTAAAGTGATATGAAGCAAAATACCTGTGAGAGCAAGGAAATCAGTCTGCGCTGATTAATGCCAGTGTTGCTGATATTGATGGTTTAGCTGCCTGTACAAAACAAATGTGGCTAATCAGTTCATCTTGAAATAACTTGTACTAGTGAATAAAGGAAGTTGTTGCCTAATCAATTTCATACTAATTGCTCCATGCCACAAATTCAGGGCCTGATCCAATATGAATTGACACCAAGGAAAGATACTCCATTTGCTGTGATAGTCTTCAGATCAAGGCTTCATTTGAAAGGGAATAAACACAGCATGCTAAATTAGCGTTCATCTGAGCCTTCACTATTTGTTTCTTGAGAAACAGACAGGCTTGATTTTATTTTGTGCATAGCCACATGAGTTGCAGCACTCACATGTTGGATTGCAGGCCAGCAAAGCCAACCCGGGCACATCAAAGTTTCAGCAGGAGCTGGGGCTCTGTTGGCTGCTGTCTGCCACAGACCACCTCAGTCGGGTGTCTGACACAGGGTGTTAACTACGGTGTTGCCTCATGGAGCCATTTAGCTCCCAACAAACATTTAGTGCTTGTGAGGCATTTGTCAAAAAGCCACACTGGGGCTATACCTGTGGCTTTAGCTATTTAAACGTCTTTAAAAATCTGTCCCTTGAGATGATTTAACTCAGCAGGATTTAGGCTGTGAAGGCTCACATCATCAAAGGGACCAAAGTGTCAATCCATCTCTTTTCACGCCTAAGGACATAATAGTATCATGCCCCTCCCCAAGAGAGGGTACTGTAGAGAAATTTCCAAGCTCTCAGCACCCAAACTAGCTAGCTCTGGAAGCAGATGGAGTATAATTATAGCAGTGTCGAGCTGCACCTGAACTAATTAGCTCTGCTGAGAAACAGGGATTGAATTTAATAATGCATGTTCTGCCATACCAAAAAGGCTAGACTGCCTTTGAGACCCATGTGAGTGTCTCTGCATGGTGCTGTGCTGAACTCTGTGGATGTACTCTGAAAGTCAGCTTGGAGCTTTTTTCACCATAATCCACTGCACAATGCAGCTATCACCTTGTCCCAGCATTCAGGTACCATTGGCATAATTACTCCTCAGCTGTCACTTACCTCCTGACTATTAGTTTAGCATGTTAAGTTCTGCATATGCTCAAGATTTTGCCGTCCAAACTCACCTAAATGTCGAGATCCATCTCAAGGACTGCCGTAACCTATTTCTAAAGCCTTGAAGGCTTCAAAATGAAACCCTCTTTGCTATGGGTCTAAAGTTACTGGCATGGTCAAAACATGCTTAAAGTGCTTGGTAGCTGGGAGAAAGGTAGTAGGTGCAGGTTCGGATCCTTGCTCTGGAGCAACGATACCTATCAGACCTGAGCATGAGCCCTTATTTAGATACATTTCCTAATAGCTATGATTAAAGCCAGTCTCTCTGGCCTCAGTCCTCTGCATATCAAATTATTTCTACAAAGGGGAGCAGCTCTCATGTTGGTGAGTGAGAGACTTTTCCCACTGCACAAGGAGTTGGGAGCTGGGATGCTGACTCAGGGACTGGTTTGAGCTCAGGCTCCAGCTGTGGGTCAGGCAGAAGGAGCAGTTTGACCCCATCTCCCATGCTATCAGGGATAACTCCAAGGCTCTCGCTTCTCCTGGCCTACCACTGTTACTCTTTAAAAATGGATCTCCTGCATCATGCAAGTGAGTGATTTTATTTAAGTGCTTAATGGCTCTGAGAGGATGAGTACTGGGCCTCCCTGGACACATTCTGTAAAGCCTCGTTGCTCTCTAGGAAATGCAAAAGGAAATTGTACCCTTGAATTACTTGATGTCTTTTGAAAATTTTAGGCATGATTCATAATATTTGATGATTTTTTTAATAAATAGCTCCTTTAGGCAACTTCAATGAATCTGTGTGCTGTAGACAAAAATTACAACTACTGGATCAAGCATCCACACACTTCCAGAGTAAAGACTTTTTCTATTTATTTATTTGTTTGTTTGTTTTATTTCTTCAATTTTATAAAACACACAGTCTTCGATGTTTTGAGCTAAGGGAGATTTTCTGTAGGTAGAACTGGTGCATCTTACTGTTGCAGAGACAGGCATTTCTCTCATCAGAAACTCAAAATTACTTTGATTTTATTGCAGAATCATTCCTTTTCCTGCCATTCTACTGAGAGGATCTGAAATAAAATTTCTTAACTAGAAAGAGATCTGATTTACAAGGTTTGTAATAGTTGTGTAGAATTCAATTGCCTGTGGAGGAAGCACGGGAATCATTATTTCCCCTCCTCTTCCTGTATTTGCTTTGCAATATATTTGGTTCAAATAATCCATTTCTGAAAATATCTCTTTGGTATGTGGGGGAGTGGAGGCATTATAAGCAATATTGCATTTGTAATAAGGGGAAAGGGAGAGCTGTGAAGAGGGGAAGGAGAATTCCCAAGTCTGAGATCTTCCCTCACACTTCTCCTGGCATGGCTTTGTGACAGACTACATCTCTTACAGTACAGAAAAATGGAACTGCAGCCTCTCCCTAAATAATTAAATGAATACTTAACTTTTAGGTTTAGAACTTACAGTATATTATAAAACAATTACATTTCCTTTGCATGAAAAGGCAAATTACCATTTAGCTTCCTTTGTCATCTGTATGTGTGAGTTTGGAGCAATTAGCATGAATATAGTGCAGGTGCAGTATCTCAGGAAATTGCAAGAAGCTGTGCTGTGGTTTTGTACTGTAGAGGGATGTCAAAGCCACTCTTTTCCAAGTCAAAAACTGGAGAGATTTGAGCATCTGAAATGTGATTTTTTAATCATAACAAACACCAATAGACGACTGTATAATAGGCATGAAATGAATGCTCTATTTTCTCACAGATTGTACTGCTACTTATTTAATTTAACTTGAGACTGCAAACTATTAAATTTTAGATTGTGAATTACCATTCTTTTTTGGACAGCTTTTTTTTTTTTTTTTTTTTTTTTTTTTTTTTTTTTTTAACAGCACTTATATTGTGGTAGCATTGATACTATCTCAAGACATCTTCCTACTCCAGTGGTACTAATTTTTACTTGTTCTTTAAGACAAACTACTTGGGAATTCCTAGGCCTGGAATTTTGTTTGGTATCATTTTGTTGTATCTAACTCTTAATGCAAAACCAGTCCTTGTACCTGACTCTGAGATTCATTTCATTTTTTTAAAGTGCAAATTCCTCATAAATTCAGGTGAGAATGATAAGATAAATGCTGCCTAAAGCCAGACCTCACAGTGGGCATAAGTAGTGATGTAGTGATTTATTTTTATTTATTTATTTATTTTTTCTTTTTGGTAGGGTGATACCAGTCCACATCTGCTGAGGATTTGACCCTTAGAGCTATCTGACCTGGTAGTCATTTTTGCTGATGCTTCATTTATAAGAGCAGAACAGAGGGACATGAATGACCATGGTGATTATTCATACATGCTTTAATGCCCTTTTATTTTGCCACAGAGGCTTAAAGGAGACACTGTGGTAATGGCCCACAGGCTCCCCATTATATCCATGATGTGAAATCACTACTTAGAAGAATGATACTGATATGGAACATTTCCTTCCTTGGAGCAAAAAGGAGCAAATTCATCCTGGGGACTACAACACTAAAGGCAGTACATGCAAATGTTTGTGCATGGAAAAAAATCTGATGGCCACTATGGAATTTGTGATAGTCACGCAAATGAAATGATGCACAGGCATGTCCAGTTTGGCTATAGGGAAGTGGCAAAAGGAGGAGGAAATGCAAGTATCAAATCTGAAAAACAGCCTGTGGCAAAAGAGAATTTTCAGGTTGTTGGCATGGTGAGTCATCTGCTCAGTGTTTCTATAAATATGACAACAGCAGCTACTACCCCTTACTTTTAGCTGCATCAACACACACACTTCAATTGAGTGGGAGAAGGTAAAAGGGCTTACTCTGAAATAGAAATAGCAGTAGGAGGATATCACATGAAGCAAACTCCCGGAACAGGCAAGACTTGTGACAGGATAAAGATTATTTGTTCTGTAGCTAGCATCCCTAAAGACACAGTTGCTTGCTGGGGTGTTATATGAGAAAAAGATACATACTACTTTGGTGTTTTACTGTGTACTGCATGGATTTTTTTCAGAGTGCAAGCTTTTAATCTTGACAAACAGGATGGTTTCAGCACTCATCTAAAATTTTAACGCTAATAGCTAGAAATATAATTTTTGTCATATTATCTTGGTCTGAGAAAAAACCTTTTTCTGCATTGGTTATGAGGTAAGAAAATTTGTGGGCTCTGTGGCACTAGAGAACCGTCAGTTCTGTCTCTAGGTTCTCTGCGTGGGTCTGTAGCTAATGTTGCAACACCTGTCCTATATTTCAAGTGTAGCAGGAGGCCTTTTGAGCAAACTATCATTTAGAGAAGAGCTAGAGATTGCGCAGTCCCCTGTGGCTCTGGGAAAATTTAATGGAGTTGGAGACTAATCCCCCTACCAATGCTCTGTGGAGCACAGGGAGCAAATTTCCTTACCTCAGAGGAAGAAGTCAAATACTCTCCAAGGGGGAGCTTAGCCAATTTTTCTCTTTTCCTCCCTCTTGGGTAAAGTTTTCTAAGGGAATGACTGAGGATTGACCCTATGGAAATTAGAATTGGAGAAGACCCATTATAAAATTGATTTTATTTTCTTGTCATTGGAAAGTTGTTCCCTATAGCATGTTCTCTAATGATTTATCCGGGAGTTTCAAATGTTGTAAGTACCAGTGGTTCTGTATTTCCCTGACCTGTCTCACTGATGGATGGTACAGAGATGGGGATCACAAGATACAGCAGAGATGAAAAGAGAGATAGCCAAATAACATAAAGATGAAATTTCTTTTTTTTATGGTTTGAGTAAACTGCTAGGGAGAATCAGGAATGAGACCAGCAGCATTTGCAGTATATATGCTGGGTGATATACTAGTTTAGATCTAGGCTACATTTAAACACAGTGAAATTTGCCTCTGACACAAACCAACCACTTTTAAATTTACCTCCATTTAAATCACTTGAAATTTATTTTCCACACTTTTCTTGTAGTATGTACTGCACAATATCTGGGAGAAAAGCTTCTTATTTCTCTATTTCCCCCTTTTTCTCTTATTAACACCTCCCTCCATAGAGCACCCACCCACGCACACTTCTTGGGAAGCAGATGTGATGAGAAGTGCTGAAGCACTATGAGATAAGATGTTCTTGAAGAATCTCTGATCTGTTGAGCAATATCTTATGAGATTTAAAACTCCAAAGGGTTTAATATAAGTAAACAAAACCTTTCAACATCTTACAGCTCCTGGGAAAAAAAAAAACTAAAACATTCCAAAATTCACTAACCACTTCTTACTGTCAGTGCTACCAGTGAATCTTGCTGTCCACTTGCCTCTTCTATTCTGTCTTAAGCAGCCACAGCAATATCCTATCTCTTCTGCTACTCATCCATACAACATAGGTGTGCAAGTGTATCCTTTTATTGACTTCTATATGTGAGATTTGGTATTTGCTACTTTTTTCTATTTGGTATTGGCACTGAATTTTTGTATGTTGATAGCAAGTACATTTGTAAATTCAGTCTCTGTATTTCTCTTTTCATGGGGCACCTCTTTTTTTTTCATTGCTTGTGCTTTGTTTGTTCAAATTAAATATTTTTTTTTTCTTTTTAAAGAAGAATGAACTTTCAGTAAAAGATGATAAAGGATTTATCTGGTGATAAAACATGTAAATCTTTCCAGAAACTTCAGGAGGATTTTAATATTAATGAGGATCAAATATGGAAATGTACACAACTTGAGAATAGTTTCTTGGAAACAGGAAGAACTGTGGAGTCAGAATAGAAGTAGTCCTTCTTAGGACAAGTTTCTGATATAGATAAGACAGAAAGACAGTATCTAAATTTTATTTTATCTTGCTTAAATCTCTTCATTCTTTTGTGAATGGGTAGGAAAGAATGACAAGTCAGTTTTTAAAAATACACTGCTGGATAAATCATTAGAGAAGAAGCTATAGGGAACAAGTTAGTAGTGACAAGGAAATAAAAT